GTAGGATCAGTCCAGTGCACCATTTAGCCTCTCTCATTCCTGGTCCCCAGTTCGGATGAATCCCAGCATTATCCCTGCTCAGCACCTAGCATGGAGCCTGACATCCAGCAAGTGCTTAGTAAATGCTCAAAGGATGAATGAATGGATACAAAAATAAACAAAATGTTAGGCTTGGTAGAATACAGAATATGACCTACAAATTTGAAATGTACTATCAGTTTCTTAAAGCCAGCATGCAAAATCATGAAAGTATATACTAATGGTACAAATTTTATTAAAATCACATTTACAGCAGCATATTTCTATTTGAAGAATTGATCTGTTACCCACATTTTAAAGTAAAACCATATGTGGTTTTTTATATATATATATATATATTATAATCTGAGAAATTGGGCTGGGCATAGTGATGTCTTCCATTGTTTTCACTCAAATTCAAACTTAATTATGACTTATTTTATGGAACAGTCCCCTTTTGCTGTGTCAGAATTAAAACAGTATATTACACCTTCATTCTTTTTTCAGAGATGGCAATGTTTAAATCTGATATTTGGGTTTTAAATCATGCTTTCTGACCAAAATTCCTTTGGAGAGCAGAATGCAATATTCAGTACTTCCAGGCATGCTGTTGTTGGACAGATCCCACAGCAGTGAACCTGAAAGATTGGCAGGGTAAAAAAGTAAGAGTCCAGAAGAGACAAAGTCAAGATGCCAAGATAGAAGGAGAGGGGAGAGAGAGATTTGTATTTGTCTTACCACCTCATGACAGCCATGTAGAATGACATAATCCTGTTTTGAATAACTTTTGTTAAGATAATAAGAATATTGTGTTTGTCTTCTTTTAAAAATTTCACAACAGTGCACTGAAAAAAGAAGTGAAGACCCTCCTGCTTCATTTCCTGCCTTCATAGAATGTTGTGTTACTAAAATATTTTTATTACAGCAGAACCCGAAGCAATATAAAATGTTTGCTTGAGGATTTATTTGAGTCCCTTTAAGCTGAACTTCTGTAATGCAATCTATTTACAGACATTCCACAGTGCCCTATGGTTACTAGCTTATGCAAATGAAGTGTGACCCTGGGAATAAACCTCTTGCCCCCTCATCATCCTCCCTGGCTTCAAAGGTCTCTAGGCAATCACTTTTTTAAGTGAAGAGATTTTTAAGCTGAATTGAAATAGAAAGAGAGGGAACATAACTTGATGCCCAATACTCATACAACCCAACCATTTACTATCCACTATTTTCCCATAAATATTTAGACACTAATTTATAAATCCATTTGGGATAAATGTGTTAGTGTGTAATGATTTTTTTTCAGCCTCTTCTTTTATTTTGAATCGTTGAAACTAGAGACCAATGCCAATCAATAGTCATTTACTCTAACTTCATTTCTTACTTCTCAAACTAAGGGTCACTAGATTAGGACAGAATTGGTTTAGTGATAATAAAATCTTCTCTGCTGATTATATTATCACTGAAAATATATTTGTGCTGAGCACCAGAATAATCAAAGTAATCAGAAAGAGTTATATAATCCCATAAGGACAATAACTAGGTGTATGTTTAATATATTATTTGAATATACTAGTATTACGATTGAAATATATTGGTATTTATAATTGATTAAGAAAAAATGGATCCAATTTTTAGAGAAGGGTAATGAAACTTGATAATTGATTTCATTTTTGGATGTATTAGTGGGAAAGAGCTGTCCAAAATTTTCAAATGACAATCATCATAACAAACTATATAATTTTAAGGGGCTCCTTCCTACTGGACAATACGATGAGAAAAAAAAAACCAGTTATTTTTGTAGGATGAATCATTCAAAGCCCAGATAGCCAGTAGATTCAAATGCATTCTTGGAGGCCCCAGGGTTCTCAAGGTCAAAGTATCATTTCAAAACATTGTCAAAATTTAGAAATAATCCAGGATAACTCTGAGACTTGTAGGCTAAAAAGTCTCCTCTGCAATCTTTCAAGGGATGGCAAACCACAGATGACTAACTTTTTAACCTGGCCAAATAGCATAATAAAGTTAGAGTGCTAGAAAACATTGGTAAATATATATATATATATATATATATATTTGTTTTAATTCCCTACTTAAGTCTGCTGAATCTTTACCATTTTTAGTGAAATACAGAGCTTTATTAAAATTAAAGAAAATGTTATTTAAATTCTGTTATTTATGTTCTGCTTTATGTAAAAATCATCAAATTTATGCCATGAGATTTTCTTTTAGGTGGCTTATGTTGAATAGTCAGTATGTTGCATAGGTGACTACTTAGGCCTTGAAATGCATGGGGCTCTGCAAAACACTTGCTTTCAAGGGGGTCCAGAACCTCAAGACCATGGCCATCTGCCTAAAAAACCTGAACAGGCTCAAAATGGAGCTAACAGTCCTGAATGTTTGGCCAGCAACAAATGACAGGGAAAGACAGGGAACTAATAAATAACGTCCCCCAAAATAGATGCCAGAAATAGGTGCTAACTCAATAGGCCACAGTGAAGAATGACTCAAAATCGTCTGTTGTACTTGTAAATACTTACTGAGATTGAAGAGGAACATACATGAGGCCAGAAAAAAGGAGAATGATACAAAAGAACAAAGAATCAGTAAGAAGAAATCGTAGCACAGCAAGCCAAGATCATAGCTAAAATCCTCAAATTTTAATGCTAGAGACACTAAGAACTCAATTTAAAAAACAATCAGAGAACTTCCACCCATAGAAAGTAGGAAATCCAGCACAAACATGAAATAATTAAAGAAAACACTCCTGGGGGGAGGGTATAGCTCAGTGGTAGAGTGCATGACTAGCAAGCATGAGAGGTCCTGGGTTCGATCCTCAGTACCTCCATTAAAATAATAAATAAATAAACAAACGAACAAATCTAATTGACTCCCTCCCCTCAGGAAAAAAAAAAGAAAGAAAGAAAAGAAAACACTCTTAAAAAAGCATATATGTGTGTATGTACATATATATGTTATACAACAACTTAGCATTTATACAGACCAAAGATTCCTTTTGGAAGCATACTTGCCTGACGAGTTTTTAAACTTCAAGAACTAAGAAACATTGGAGAATAATCTCAACTGTGGACACTGGTCCTCAGACTGAGAAGGGGACGGGAGGATGCTCAAAGATAAACAGCTACTCTTACAAGTGCAGCAAAGACAGTAAAGAACAGAATAAAAAGTGGCAATGTCCTTTGGAAAGGTGATAGAAAGTCCAAGTTCAAATTCCATGGAATGGTCATGGTCTCTAACTTTTTTAAGGTCCTGGCCACTGTCACAGAAGACACATCTCACTTCTCACAGTTTCAGAAATTCCTGCTTTGACCCACACTTAGAAGTAAAGTAGCAAGACAGGATCCCTAGCAGCAAAACTCTGGAATATTTCGGCCTTACCAGTTCTGCATACGGCTCATCACCACCACTTTAATTATTCACCAAAGAATAATAGCCCAGGTTGTTTCTCCTCAGTGGGTTAAAAGACTCAAAGAATAAAGGTAGAAGAAAAGCTCCAAAAAGTCACAGAAATGTATCAATGCCAATGACCAGAAAATAATGACAGTAAACAGAGGAGTGTATTAGAGAAAAGGATTTCTCTCTTTTGACCAAATCCTGTAGGGAGGGAGGGGGAGAGAGAGAGAGAGAGACAGTGTGTTTGTGTGTGTGTGCGCGCGCGCACATAACAAGGCACCTGAGGTCCTGGGAGATGAAAAACAGCTTGTGCTTTTTGACTACATTAGTGAAAGATGCTTCATTCCTTCATAAGCAGAGCTGTTATTAAAAAAACGGTAGGTCATTTTCACAGGAAGTCCTGGACCATGATGGCTCCAACCATGTCTTACAGGAATAAAGAGCAATGAATCTCTAAGGAAAGGGAAGTCTAGGATGTTAGCTCAGGGTTAAACAAGGACAGAAGGCGTTCCCAGGGCTAGGATGTTGGATACAACGTGTGATGTAGGAAGCTTTTCAGACTTGGTCACCCTGGCCCAGTGTCTGTGCTACAGAGACTGGTAACTAAGCATACATGCATGGGGCCCACTCTTGCAGAGTGAGTAGGCTTTCAGCAAAGTGCACGCAACTCTGATCCTGAAACCATTTGGACAAGAGAAGCAAAGGTATTAGTGAGCTGAATAAACTTTCCTGTTCCCTCTGTGACGAGTTCTAGAGGTAAAACTAGCCTCCTCTTTTGCCTCACGGACTTTAAGGGCTTCTTGGACAATTAAGGACATGATATACTAAGAAGGCAGGTAAGCACTAGAGCAATGAGAATATGTTCTGGGTTTGCGGAGCAGGGCATACTTTATCGTCTCTCTCCTGGACTTTTATCATATTCATCAGAGTTGCACCTTCATTCTCACATCTTTCTGTTTTCAAGATTGTTGTATTGTTTGAAGTATCTTGATTTAACTGTGCTCTTTTGATTCTCTTTACACATACTCATATACCTACTTTCTAATGAGAAACTACTGGTTCAAAGTTTCATTAACAATTATCTTACCTGTTCACTATAGTGTCTATTTTCAACTGATAAATTATGCTGTACTTCATTTGGGTACACTGAATTCCAAAACGCAAAACACAATTCCCATTTCCAACCGATAATCTCTGAAAATCTTGTTAAACCTCTCCACAAAAGTTTACTTTAGCTTGAAATCAATTGCATTTTGAGGAGATACTGAAACACAACAGAGACCCTATTGGGTTGAGCTATCGACTCTTCTGGGACAAACATCTTTTAAAAATTAACTTCAGAAAGTTTGTTTTTTGTTTCTTTGTTTTAACTGAACCTGCACGTCTCACTGAGCCCCACGAAGAGATGACACTCAGACTTACAGAGAAGGCACAGGACATGCGAGGCAATAAGTCGTGGAGACTGCAGAATTCCCCGACGTCTCCTGAAGGACTTTCATTTCAGCCTTGGCGAAAGCCAGAGTCTGAGGCCGAAGCGCTACAGACCCTCACCCGCCGGCAGCCCCGCGCCACCATGTTGCTCGCGGTGTAAAGGGCCGCCGCCGCCACGGAGCCAGACGGCCCCAGTTATGCGCAAGCGCATGCTCTGCGCTGCAGCCCACGCGCAGGCGCCACGCACGGCGGCGGAGGGGGCTCAAAGGCAGCGCAGTAGCGAATCTATTTTTTATATGAAGACATTGAATTGTACTTTTTTTTTTTGAGGAAAAAAAGAATTTGCAAGTACTTTTATATACATCTACTTTAATTTCATTATTACATTTTTCAACTGCTTTAGTCATCTCAGGCTAAGTCATGCTACAGTAATAAATGATCTCAAGTTTTGTGGATTAAACAATAAAAGTTTATTTCTTGCTCACATTTATGCTTATCACGGATGAGCTGTGACTCTGATCAATATCTTCTTCATTTCATGTACAAGTCTGAATAAGCGGCCCTATGTGGACCTCTTATGGCAAAGAGGAAAGAAATCAGAATGGGCTCTTAAAACTTCAGCATGGAAGTAGCATGTGTCACTTGCGCCCTTACTTATTTCATTGTAACTTATTTTGCTGGTCAAAATAAGTAACCTGGCCAAGTTGACATAGTCAAGACCCCTAGTAGAAAGGTGCCAAATAAATAAGAGTCCTTTAGAGAGAAATACCAAATATTTTGACAATCATATCATTTACCATAAATTTCTTCTTTGTCTGCCACTCAATTATCAGTATTTAAACAGGAATACAATAGAAGAAAAACTGTTTGAATTTTGTAGACTCTAGAATAAGAAAATGTAAAGATTAGAAGTCTACAATCAAGATGTTTTTCAATCCCAAGCTTCTTTAATTTTATAGTAACACCATAGCATCTTTTTTTTAATTAATAATTTGAAGCTGTGCCTATTACGTTCTTTAGAAAATGCATTGGATTCTTTGGGAAAAAACACCATCAATGTCATGGTTATTACTCACAAGGTTATAACATTTAATGTAATTCTTTCTAAATAAAAAACACAGTTTAGTAAATAATTTTTATCTTAAAAAATAAATAATATAATCTGCACTACTTTTTATGCTTAGCTTTTACTAATTTTTATCTGTTTTTAATCCTTACTTCTTCCCACTCATTTGTTTTGTTACACAAAAGTGTATAGCAAAAGCAAGTTCATATATATATACATTTATATAGAAAAGAGAGAGTAAGAGAGATTGAGAGAGAGAGAGAGAGACACAATTTAATTTATACGTGTCCTCCAAGAAAGACTATCTAAACTGTTCCAACAGATTCTAGAGAAAGAAACGCCACGATTTTATTTGTATAGCACAGTACTTTTCTATGATTAGAAATCACCATACTAGAACCTACCCACCAAAAAGACAATTTCTCAAAAACTTACCTAGAATAAAAATTTATAACACCTATACAGGTCTAAATGACCCATTGTGGGAGTTATTTTGGTTGTTCTAAAAACATTTGAGTATATGATTATTAGATATTACAACTAAATGTTGCATATTTAGGCTTTTGCAAAATATATACCATTATAAATAATTTTTAACATTAAGTAATTTACATAGAAAAAGAGGAATATAGAAAGTAAACCATTCACAACTCAAGAAACATAATTTACTTGAAGCAGTTCTCCTCAAAAACAGAGAATATTAACCATGTTACATTCAAAAAGCCCAAAATATTTTAAATATATTTTATTTATCTTTCCAGTTCTATGCTAGTGGCAATCCTCAAAGCAAATTTCCATTAATTACATATGTTGATAAACATATACATTATAATTAATCTATAAAAATTTACTATTTCTAAGTAACAGAGCATGTTTTAGGAACTTAATAAAATAATATCCTAAAATAATATCCTCAGTCCTCCTACATCTCTCTGTAAATTCCAACCTCTCAATCAATCAATAAAAGACCTCAAAGGGTCAGAGTTTCTCAATGCCCAAACCACAGGATTACCTCTGATTTAACACAAGGCTCAGTTAAATGCAACTTACATAGATCTCTTCTTTATTAGGGCATAACCAAAAGGAATGTTTTAATGTTGATATAAGAGCAACAAGTGAGAATAAAACAACCCTTATACCTTTCTCAATCAACAAACAAATCAACCAACAAAAATGAGGTTAGAGAATTATGTGTGATCTAATAGTCTGCATTCTGTGACAATGATCATTATTACCCAACAATTACTGAGCATTGTTATGGGCTCAGTAATGCAGTAGTTGCGGATAATACAATGACAAGCAGAGGAGGAGAAATTAAGGGGAAACTTCCCAAAGAAGTCTGAATTTCAGAGAACAAATTTGAGAGACTAGATATGATTTTACCAGATGAACAATGGGGGCTAACAAGAGAGGAGGGATGTGCAAAAAGAGAGAGAAGGCATTTCAGGTAGAAGAAATATCATAGACAAAGCACAGAGGTCCAAAACAACATAGTAAATTCTTGAAACTGCAATTAGTATAACACAGATAGATGCATTTTGCTAGGGCACCGGCTGTGGGAGGTGGAGCTGTCAAAGGGCATGAGAAGGGTTTACTTCATGGAGGGCCTCATGTGACTCGCCAAGGTTTTTAGATTATCTTGTGGGCAATGGAACATCACTGAAAGGTCTTAATGAAAAAAGTCACATATTAAATTAGTATTTTGGAAAAATAATTTTGGTCAGGGTATGGAGGATGCATTGGAGGAGAGTGGGCTGCAGGAAAAGTATCAGGAGACTATTTTGAAAATCCAGGGGAGAAATTTTTTCAAAGGTTCCAACAACAGCAGGAGTAGTGAGTATAAATAGAAGCGAGCCTGAAACAATACTTGGTAGAACAGACAGGGCTCAGGTACTTACTGAATACAGAGGTTTGACAGAAAAGTCAAGCCTGACTTGGAGAAATGAAAGTCTGGGAGGATAGGGGAGAAAGCCGGTGAGTTTAGTTTGGAAGCTGTTACTCCTGAGGGGCCAACTATACATCCAAACATATACTGGAGAGAAGATGGCATTTTTCAGTTTTCAAAATTTCTTTGTTTAAAAGTTTATTTTCCCCTAGCAGATACTTTAAAAGAAATCATCTTACAAGATATTTTCTTACCTTGAAGCTGTTTGAATGCCTATGTAAAGAATTCGTTCACTCCTTTCGGAAAATTGCCACAAATCTCTAATTGTTTGACCTGGGTAGGGTTCACATGCCAGGTCATAACCCTCATGCTTTTAATTATTTAATTGTGTTTCTTCCTTGATTTGGCATCTGACTTCTCCCACCTACTGAGAGCATGTGTCTCCTCTGTATTTTGCTTCCCACCAAGATCAGACTTGCCCATGACCTATGAAGTAACCTGAACTGTGTTATATTTTTAAAGACCAGTAGAGGAGACAGCAATGATTGGGTGCCCTCAAAATTTTGCCCAGTGGTCTGACATCATTGATATTCCCTGGGCCCATTTCAGCATTTGACCAATTACTCTTCCCATTGAGACATGCTGAAACAAAATACATTATCTCAATAATTACTATCTTCAACAACCTAAAATTAAGTATATTATTATAATACTGTGGTACAATGAGAAAGAAATTCCTCTAAGAAAGTTGAGGAGACACTGTGCTAGGGTGCTAGGGAAGTTATACCATACAAGTAGAATAATTTTTTAGAAAATATGTTGCAGGAAATAATTGCAGGAAAAAGGTCTATCATGCCTCATGAAACAACAAAGCCCTCTTTTATTCCCTTTCTAAAAGAAGAAAGAAAAAAAAACTAAAACTAAGCATAGTTCTAAATACTGTCATTAAAGATTGTGTTTAAGTTTTAATTTCTGCTTATTTAGCAATGCATCCATTCTTAAATATACAAATCATCACTATTAAAAATACAGCATCTCCCTAGAAAGTGAGTAGCTTGTTATAACTAGCTAATGTTGCTTTGTAAACCCAAAACCTTTTAGTAAGTTTACATAAAAACTCTGATAAGGTCTTAAAAACATCTGTGAAGAAGTTCACACAATGCAGTAATACCCAAGGAGAATTGTCGACAGTAGCTTCTAACTGCCTGCCAAAGTCCATGACTTTTTCAAGATTATGGAAGACCATTCATTTTGTTTTCATAAACTTAAAGATGACTTAACCAAATCCCCTAACGGTAGTTAATGGTTCTTAATTATATGATGTGGAAAAAAAAGAAGAAAGCCTTATTCCCTGAAAGGCAGTATTATTACTAAAATTGCCTAATCTTATATGACAGTAAAATTAAAAGATGACACAGCAAGATGGAAAAAAATACCCATGAAGTGGTTAAATAACATCCAAGTTTTCACTTTTCTGTGCCAAGTTTTACTTCGCAGAACAAGTCTCAGTTGCATACAATTTCAGGGAAACATGAAATTAAGTTTTGGAAACAGATTTCATGGTTAAAGAACTTAATCCACAATCAGTTCTTCTTTATGTATTTATGAGGATACATTTTGCATCATTCCTTGAATATGCTAGCATTTCCATGGTTAAAATTTTGACTTCAAAGTTGAACAGCAATATAGCCTATTTCAAGTAATCCCGATTGCTATACCAATATATCTAATAATATTTTAACAAGAATAAAAACAAACACCTAGCTTTCAAGGATTCTATAGGATTTAGAATATGAACATGATAAGCATACCTGAGATTGCCTATACCTTTTCCTTTGGGGCCAAGAACTCTATTTCTTTCAAACTTGTGTAAACACACTGGCTGTTCAAGGGTTTCCAGTCCTCATCTGTCTTGTTACCTTATAAAATAAGTGCTATTTATTGAGTGCCAAGTATGTATTCACCTAATTTTTTTTATTTGACATCCCTGAAACTCTATGAGATTGATATTACAGTCCCTTTACTAAAGATAAAGAATTTAAGGTTCATAGAAATTAAACTATATCCTCAAAATGCACAGACTCCACGGAAACAGGGTTCAAATCTCTCTTCTGTTCAACAGGGATTCAAATGCACATCTGTCTGACTCTAAAACTTAGCCTCTACCCTACACAATGCTGCTTTTCATGTATCCAACTCTCCATTTAACTGTCCCACCTTAAATTAGGTGACCATATATTCATTTTGTATAACTGTCACATAGCTTATATATTAATAGTAAGCTCTGCTTCATTTAAAAATTGTCCCAGTTGAACAATAATTTA